CTGACCCTTCAAAAATTGGCAAATTTGAAGTCAGTCGGCTTCGAACTCCAGCGTTCGAAAGCGTTCGAACCATGGAACCCAGACACACGCCGGAAGTTGCCGAAGATTTCCGAACGAAAACCGTTGTTTGTTTACATTCTATTTTTGGGGGCACAAATAAATACGTATGGCCTTGCGCACCTTATTCTCGCGCTGCGCTGAGTTGCCGAAAATGCGAAATAGCAACGCTAATACGTTGAAAATTATCGAAAATGACAATCTGGATGAGAAAATTTCAATTATTTGTAATTTCAGTTTTGGCGCGAAAATCCTACATAATATCACTTTAAAGACAATATGACACCAATAACACTGAAATGCACCATTCCAAAAAATAGTCAAACGTGATAGGTACTATTCAATGAACAAGGCGTTTGGACCTAAAGTAAACCTAAATTGGATTGTAATTGGATTAAGCAGCGTCAGAGATCAAGAACTGGAACTTAGTGGAAGAATTTAATATTTTCATCAGGGTTCTCACCAGGATTTTTTCACAGCGTAGGGGTCAGGTATAGAAGGGCAACTTTCTGTGGCGCGAGGCACGCACCGAGTCCCCAAAACATGGGCCTGATATTCTCCCCCAAAAATTTTGTAACTCATATTAACCACTTAAGACACTATTTATTGTTTATTGGGGGACAGATTTTGTTTTCCCTCTGTTATAGCTTCATTCTTAAGTTATATTTTCATTTTTTTAAAGATTAATGAAGCTTCTGCCCCCAAAAACCACCCCTACACTCAGTACGCTGGTTGAAACACAGTGTAGGGGGCTAAATCACAGCGTAGGGGGTCAAAATCACAGCGTAGGGGGCCCCTACGCTCAAACAGCCTGGTGAGAACTATGTTCATGATTCTATGCCCCTTAACATCAGAAGAGTGTACATGTAGGTTTGGTCCAAACCTCTTTGTTCACACAATACTAGTATCTCAAGGAGATCTTTAAAAATATGACAGAGATAGGTTGCATTTATGGACAGAAATTGTTCCTACATGATGCACATTAAACACAGCACAGACTTGGCTATACATGCATGATGGACATGTGTTCTAATTTAGGGACCCATCGTTCAATTTGACAATATGGCTCATGTTTCTACTCAACATGTAGACAGCGTCAAGACTTGGCAAACTTAGCGCGGCGACTAGCCGAGGATGACTGGGAGAACTGGAGCACAGAGGAGGAGGAAGAGGAAGAGATGGACTACACACGAAAGAGACCCAACCTATATGCAAACCAGGTAGGCTCTCAGGGTTAAATGTTAGGCATCTCTTTTTGTATTGGTGAAGCGGTAAACTAGTAAGGCCTAGGAAACCAAAATGTTGTGCTTCCGGTTTCTCAAGTGATCCTAGCAAAAAAAGCCCTTAACGCCAACCCTAGCCTCAAACGCTCCAAATAGTCTAAAATGTCATTTACTGCATTTTCAGAAGAATTTTTTCTTCAGTGAATCGGACAAAATATTTGTCCACAAGCCAACAGGTGGATGGGTTTTTGAGACAGTCCCGGTTTGTTGCTACATATCACTTTAGCCAAAATCCCTACCTACCAACCCTAGTATTTTTTAGGACTAAAACCGAAAATACAACATTGAGTTTTCTAGGCCTAAGTTTTGCTGACATATACAAATTACAATTGCCGCTGTTGAAATTACTTTCTGTACATACAATTTGACAAAAGTTGTTTGCTTTAACAAGTTGAATGGTTGTATATATAAAGCTATAGGATAACTGATCCAACTTCTCGCTACGCTTAACTTCTGTAGTACCTAGTTGAGAATGAATGCTGATGCCACAGTTGCCCCCCCCCCCTCACAGCTGATGTTGTCGGAGTGGCTGGTAGATGTCCCCGGGGACCTGGAGGAGGAGTGGCTGATGGTGGTGTGTCCTGTGGGCAAGAGAAACCTGCTGGTGGCAGCTAAGGTCAGGCACACAACAGTTTAACTTCAGTTTAATCTAGCACATCAGGGCTCGAAATACTTTTTCTGCATACAGTACATGCACTGGTGCAGGTAACTTAAAAAAAATTACCTACACCAGACAAACTTTACCTACACCACCCAGACTTTAAGAAGTATATGGATCATACTAAAAACTGTTCAGAAACTTTTGCCAGCAATTCTTTTATACTTCATAACTGGTAACAGTCAATGCAAATAAAAAAATTTAAATCCACATGCACAAACATTTGTATATCATCATCCCAGTACATGCTCCAGTGCAGGTTAGGTGCAGATAGACAACAGAAATACAGTTCCGATTTTACCTGCACTACGGGGCAAGCCCTGTACATGTATTCTGGTACATGGGTTCTATTTTCAAGTCCCTGGCAGTCCCCATTGTTGTGTCCTTGACATCTTGAAGAGGTGATATTTGCCTGTTACTTTTATTATGTCAATCCTTTCACAAATTTGGTAAAGCTTTACAAATGAATAAAAATTTGTAAAACTGTTGATAGTGATGTCAGTTTGCCACAGAAAATACAAGAAGATGCACCTACAATACTGTTTGTTCATGACACATAAACTATCTACTCCAGGGAACAACCAAGGCCTACACTAAAGGTGGCTTCTGTGTGAACTGCTTCCCTTCAGCACTGCCTGGTGGTCGGAAGAGGAGTTACAGTGCCAAAGGTAGGTACTCAAACTTACATTACTGACTCTGTTTATTAATATGATTTACCATTGTCTTAAAGATGACCAAAAAGGAAAAATATCTCTTCCATGATGTAGTTTTGACAAAGAATTGAAACTTTGAAAGAACGGAGAGACAACCATAGTGAGTGACATTGTGTATTTCAACCCATTTGCAGAGTACACCATCCTAGACACCATCTTCTGTGAGGCAAGCAGGACGTTTTACGTTCTAGATATCATGTGTTGGAAGGGACACCCAGTCTATGACAGTGAGGTAAGTTTATAATCCCAACAATTTAGACCAGGGATCGAAATTCATTTTTTTGATTAGGTGCACTGGTGCACCTAACCAAAAAAATTAGGTGCACCAAAAAAAATTTGGGTGCACCACATATTTCCAGTAGTACATTAATAAGTTAAATATTATTAATATCAAATTAATATTCCACACGTAAAGAATGCTAAAAATGATCGTAGCAAGAGTGGAAATTGCATCGCTATGGAAATAACACAGTAATGATCTTACCGAAAAAGGGCAAATTAGGATGCCGAGATCGAAAAAAAAATATAAAAAAAATCTAGAAATGAAAAAAAAATCACACAAAGCCTCAATCTTTTTGCACTTGACTTCTCGGTTGATTCGGTTTCGGACTCCGACTCTGATGACCCGGAACTGGACAGTCGGAAGGAGCTCGGGAGGCCGTGGAGGAGGGCCCGGGAATGTTGTCGAGAGCACATGGCCGCCCCCCTCCCCCTCTGTCTCGGCGCTCCCACGGCACGGTCTGTCCACTTCTCGCTCGTCCGGGCGTGTTTCCCGTTGGTTTCCAGCTTCATCGCTTCCTTCGGGGTTCTGAAGAGCTTGGGCTGATGTTGCCACATCTCGTCGTCATCACGATCGGACCTCGGCTGAAGGAACCGTAGAAGCGAAGTCTGTCTCGACATATTTGTTTTGCTTTGTCATCCACGAATTTCATGGCCGAATTTTGTCGACACCCGGGTTTTGACGATGTGACCTCGAAGATTATCGAAGTCAAGCGAAAACTGCACGAAAACAACATTTTCTCACATGACAAGCCCCCGAGGTAACTCCCAAAAAGCGTCGGAAAGTTCCGGAAGCGAGTTCGCGATGTTTTGGTCACATGACTATCAAGAAACCGGGGAACGAGAGGGAAGAGATCTCATGTCCAGTGTTGTAGTCGGGATCCGGAAGTTGGTGGGTAACGCGAAGTCGGCACTGCGCCGACACATAATTTTTCGGGCTTTAAAAACTGAAGTAAATCTAATTCTATCTCAAGAATTTCAAACAAGCAGTGCATCAAAGGTTTTTTATTATTTTATTCCATCAAAGTAATGTTGGAATTACAGTGTTTTGTACCTTTACCGTACTAATACTACAAAAATATTTAGGTGCACCGGTGCACCCACAGTCAAAAATTGGGTGCACCGATCCAGATTTGGGTGCACTAAGGTGCACATGCACCCATTATTTCGATCCCTGTAGACCTTATAGATGATCACATCTTTTGCTCACCAGTGGTATGTCTTTCACTGAACTTTCTCGTGGATAGTTATTTCCGTTGGACCCAACATGTCACTGTCCTTTTTCCTGATAAGGCCATGTTGATTTGATTACATCGGTGTAATCATCTACCCTGGCATGATTTTTCATCTGTGTTGAAAAAAAAAAACGTTTAAGAGTCTATTATTCACCATATCATACTCTTGTGTGTTTAGTCATTTGTTCAATTTTCATGACCACATAGATTTCATAACGAAGGCAACTTTTTTCTCCAAACCTGGGCTAACTGCATGTAGTATACATGTCAGGCATAACTTCACAAACATGTAATGGACTTAGTACTACGTTGGTTCATCCAACTGAAGTTGTCCCATAAATGTTGCATGTATTTCGTACCCTTCTGCAAGTCAATTTTTGCCTAACCCTCAGTTACAGTTTTTGTACCAGTAATTTGCCTAACTAATTGATTTATTTGCCTAGACTGCTGTTTCAGTGATTGAATATGAGGATCTGTTTGACCTGTGTTTCAGACTGACTTCAGGTTTTACTGGTTACAAACCAAGCTACAAGAAGAGCCTGATGTGGCAGAACGCTCCAAGACTAACCCTGTAAGTGGATAAATTTCAGAGATTACTCCAACTGCACTGGTGTAGCCTTGAGTTCCAAGTACATGTGTTGGTTGTCTTGAGTTTAGCATCTGCTCCACTTTGAGCAATAATTGTCTTCGTCAGAAGGACTGTGAAATTGTCTCGCCGGAGTGTGGGGAACTGCGGATTTTGCGATATAACTCTGGAAGGCATGATTCGACGTCCATGATTTTTGGCAGGCAGATTACCGCTGTTAAGGCCGAAGTCAAGTACAAGTTTTGGCTTCTTGGGCCGTCCGTGCGTCACGTTAGTGCACCTTTTGTGTTTGTGGCTTGTTAGCAAGATAACTCAAGTATTTGTAAAATGTTGATTATAATTCTTGGTGTGGTGCTTACTATTGTCGGGACCAAGGTTAAGTTCGTTACTGAGCTTCGTGGGGGGTTTCGTTGTGACTACAGGGGGCATTTTGTTAATTTTTCTTGTGAGCAGGATAACTTTTGTATGTGTGGATGGAAGTTAATGAAATTTGATAGGCATATTACTGTCGTGGTCTCCAAGATTGAGTTCAAAGATGAGAGTCGTGGAGGTCGTTATGTCCCCGTAATAGGACCTTTTGTGTTTAGAAATCCCCACCTACATCTGCTTGGAGACAGCCCACAGCTGGATATAGCGGGGAACCCCATAATGGGATGGGATCAAATGACGTTACATTGAGGGATTGTACTATAACTTCAGCAGGGGGAGGATAGGTTGGACATATGTCAGGTTATTTTCTACGGCCACACCAAGTAATTGCTATGGATGACGTCCACTGGAGACCTTAAATCTAATTACCTTAAATTTAAGGCAAGCGCGCAATAAAAACACGAAGGGCCGAAAAACGAGATGCCTAGATTTGGAATATACTAACTGTAGAAGTACAAATGTTAGGACACAAAGAACACAAGAAACAAGTCTTCTATTGGTCATAAAGACAAATTAACAAAACAGCAGTAGTCACCCTGTTCTGATTCTTTCCTTTATAACATCTTCTCTTATTATATTTTGCGGCGCTGTCGTGACACTTTCAACACAGTAAGAATTTCTTGAACGTTTTTTTTTCCAGTAACAGTCCAAACTCAAATAACGTAGGGGGGGGGGCTAACACGGGTGACGACGCATCTGTATAATCTGCGGCAAACCGTTTCAGGGTGTTCTGTACCATAAAAATAGTACAGAGATTCTTTTGTTCTTTAGACCAAATTGATTATTATAAAGATTGAAGAATACGCATGTTAATTTCTCTAGAACGATGTACCTCTGACGAAGACATGAGATCTCCGACCTTCTTCTTAAATTTGGGGGTCTTTTTGCTGATATTCGATGATACCAAGTCAGTTGAGTGTAGCACAACACTCATTTTCACACCAGTCAAGTGTGATAACTGTGAAGCAGACACCTGCATGCTTCTTGTTTGTTTGTTTTACAATGTGATGGGGGCTGAATTATGCTCAAACATCTATACAGTGACACACTTCTATTTATCATGGAAGTTCATCTGTGTTGGTAGTAAAAATCATAGTACAATGTTTCAGACTTTATTCCAACACATGGGTCAAATGTTCAATGACCACTTCATCAGGATAAGTAATGACCAACCACTTCCGAACATAAACCTGTGAGAGTTACAGACACGTGACCTCCTTCACACAAGACTTAACAGATATGTGACATCAGCAATTGGTCAAACATTTTATCCTTGTGTACCCTTATGTTGGAATAAAGTCCAGCATTGTACTATGCACTTCCATTTATTTTCTCTGAGAACATGTGATAATGGGTGAGAAATTTCATTGTGACATGTTACGTTACAAGGTATGTTTTCTCCCACAGTACGTGTTTGTTGCTCTGAAGAACAGCCCTTGTCAGAGACTCAGCATACAGCAGAGACTGGCTGAAACCTTTCCCTACGAAGTAAGTGTAAGATCTGTTCCTAACAGAGGTAAGGTGGCATTTCCAGAGTCACCACCTTCCACTTTTTTATTTCATATTCACTCGTTCTCATTCAAATGTACAAAATGCTGTCGCCAATCTTTACGCCTAGGTATGAGCAAAATCATGGACCTCATCGCTGCTTTCTTCACTTTTCCACTACACTTACTATGTTTCACGAAAAATGTACCACAAACCTAGGTTTTATTGATGACTTGAGAGAAATTATGGTCGCGGGTTGGATTTCTCCCCCTAAAAAGCGGCTGTCGCCTGAGACGAAATAGAAACTTTAAAAGCAACCTAAAACGTAGCAATTTGATTACGGCAGTAGTTTTCTGCCTGGTGAAGTCGGATGGCCAGGCCCTCTGACTGATCAAGTCAGATTGCTCCTGTCACTATTCCTGTACGTCGTGCGAGGTGGTTCGTACCTGTCGCCAAGTTCTGTAACATCCGTTACCGCTCAAGTAAGACGGTCGTGCAGTTGAGATAGAGTCACATATAAGACAAGAAATTGCCATTTTGATGACTTTTAGCAAGTTTTCTAGGTTTCTAAGGGAAGAAGAAAAGAGTGTGTGCTGTCATTTGTAGCTACCTTCGCTGAACAAATTGTTTTACAGTAATGAATGTAACATCCGTTACCGTTGTTTTTACTTTCAATTTTAGTTTCTTCACCTGGTATATAAAAAGTCGCCCAGTTTTAAAATGTCCGTACTTATGCCCCCTTGATCTCGAAGGATGAAGATAAAAACTGCAGATCTTCTTGGAGAAATAAACAAAAACGTCCGTTTTGTAACATCCGTTACCGGTAACGGAAGTTACACCTGTAGCGGAAAAGACGTCACAAGAGATTGAATTTCCCTTCCCTATGCACCATAAACATAATAGTTGGAAATAAAGTAGAAAAAATATGAATCCGAAGAAAAATAATTCTCTGTGGCGTCAACAGACTCAAATGTTCTACTCTTCTTTGCTTCCAAAGATGTTTTTTGCTACTTCTATACACTGCATTTAGCTATCTTCATGTGTTCGATACGTGTATATTTACCAGTAAATAATGGGTTGACAGAAGTACTTTCATAGATACTGACGCCTAAACTAATGTCTTTTGAGGTGATGTCATGAATACGTTCACCCAATTCATGCTGATGTTCCAGCGTTTTTGCCGCACTAAAATTGCATTGTTTACATATGTCTTATCTAAGTGCATAGATTTTCGGTAACTTCCCATGGCAATTAACGTGTCCTTTTTTGGTAATCATTAATTGAGATGTTTTCCTAAAAAATAAGGTAGGTTTGCCTGAAAAAACAGATCATCGATTTTTCGACCCAAAAAATCACCATTTTGTACATTTCAATGAGAACGAGCCATTACTTCTTCGGTACAATGTTGAGCCATTCCATTTTTTTGCTGTTCTGTGGACATCAATTTAAGTAAGGCCATGTTGATTTGATTATATGGATGACATCCTCTAGGAACACCAAAACTGATGCAAGCGTGCAAACAAAAAAAAGGTGCCTTCATGATGAAATCTACGTGGTCATGAAGGTTAACAAATGTATGGTATGGCGAATGGTAGACTCTTCATTTTCATCACTCTATAACATTAGTACTAGTATTGTTTTCCAAGATTTTTTTCAATACCATATATTTTTTCATTTGAACGATTTACAGTATGGTCAAATTTTTTGGGGGGGGGTGGAAACGGACGAAAATTCATATAATCAAATAAACATGGCCTAACTTAATGGCACATTCAAAACTATATTATTAATCTCTATCTGAACATTAGAATGATAGACTGTAAGCTTCCTCCTTCATGTAACTGATTTTTCAGTCCAATAACATTTTTTTTTTCTGTCTGTGTTTCCCCAAGGTTGACGGTTTGCTGTTTTACCACAAGCGAACCCACTACACGTTTGGCAGCAGCCCCCTGGTTGGCTGGCTCAAACCCCACATGCTACCTGACATTCTAGGCATCCCTGCTCCCACCATCACTGTTGTACCAGCAGTGGACGCCTCGGTCATGGACACAACTCACGGTAGGTACCATGTTTTATTCAGAGCTGTAGCCAGCATCCATTTTCCTGTCAACTTTGCAGCATGTGACAGAAAAATTTTCAAACCAATCCGTCAACCTCGACAGACACAAAATCGACAAACTTCTTGTCAAAAAAAGAAAAATCATCCAAAGGATGGCCGACAAACCACTCTCATCCTTATGCGTTGCCTCTCAAATGTGAGAAATTGCATTTCGAAGGCTTGAAAATCCCAAATTTCCTGGAGACCCCCTAGATTGGGCCCCCTAAGATTGGACCCCCAAAGATTGCGATCCAGATCCAGGTGAAAATGAGTATGCCAGAATGATCATTATCATGATCGTGGGCACTAAAGGAAAACCAAACAAAAGATGAGACATATTTTTCCTTTATAAGTCACAATGGAAATAATCATCACAACAGTGGAAGTGATCATCTTCCTAGTTACAGCAAGGGTGATAAATTGTTTTTCTTCTGTGTGTTGTAGAAAGTGATGAGGACGACACTGAAACCATGGAAACAGGCAACACGGCAAGAAAAAAGAAGGGAAGAAGGAGAAGAAAGAAAGGTGGCTTGGAAAAAATGGAGGCAGAAAACTCTACCGAGATGCATAGTATACAATAGCGAAACACAGGTCATTTTTTCATGCACCGTAACACTACAGGGGAAATCTTACAACATAAGGAGGTACAGAACTTAAAGGAGATGAGCTAGTAGTTCCTTGAGTTTTACTAAAATATAAAAAAAGCCATACGTGGATTTAAGAGAAGAATTCAGAGCTTCTGAATACTGCTTTCTGGATACTGGAATCAGCTGAACTGAAATGGGCACAAAGTTACAGATTTTGCAAATTTGAAAATGATCTGTTTTTGAGCATGTTTTCAGCAACTTATTTCAGGTCAATTTTTTAAAAGAAATAGAACACTGATCAACATTTTAGCCTCACTAAATGAAAGTTAAATTATTTTTTTAATATTTTTGTGTTTTTTTAACACTATGTACATAAACATATCGTGTTGATTAACATTGTTATATGTTTGTAAATAAACATGTATCAATAACTGTTAATGTCTTACACTTAATACAGCTGACTGTTTTGCCAGTATACATGTATGTTTGTTTTTAACCCGTGACAACTGTTGCTAAAAGGTTTGTTGAGGTACTACAGAGGCAGAGCATCTGTTGCATGTTAATGCCATGGAAGGACTATGTCAATGCCTCTATCATGTCAACACAAGACTAACAGTTTATACACTCAGAAAAAATATATCAGAAATTTTGATGGTGCTACACATTAGTCTAGTTTACTTTGATGGGCTAGTCAACTCCCGCTGTCCAAAACTCTTGATGTTTGACTTGCCATCAAACGTGAGCAATTATTCCTCAAGTTTGCTGGATCGCTGAGACAGTCTCTGAACAGATATGTACAACATTCTGTCCATTTTTGGCATGTGCACGTTGAAGGCCAACAAAATTTCTCATATTTTTTGGTAAAAACTCCTACTGGGAGCCTAGTTGAGGTGGGCGTCGGGAAGCTAATATAGCTTTGAAGAGAGCCCACCCAAGCAAGCCATGATAGACTGGACACCAGTCTATCACAAATTCTTTTTTTAGTTTTTTTTTTAACTACAGCTGTATTTGTATATGTATCATGCAACCACTTTCATCTGCAGATTATCCATGATTAGCAAAAGAATGGGGGCTTATAATGTTATTTTTGTCAAATGTTTTACATTTAGATTTTAGAGTGTTAGTATTACTTGTAGTTCAAAATTGGCACCAATTAACCCTCCTGCTGTCATGGCTGCCTAACCCCATAACCAATCCAAATATTTGGTGCCAATTTGCAACCATAGCAGGCTAGGGGTTAAAATGAGCAGGTGATGTAAAAACTGTTTCCTGTTCATTCATTCAGTGCTGTATGATGCACGTAACACATTTCCTCTCACTCTCACACATGCCTTCTTAAGATTATCTTCCTTTATCTATAATAAGTGGCATTAATAAGGCCTCTTTAGCAGAGGGTTTTGTGTAGTGGATAAGGATTAGTCTGGGGGGTCCAGAAAGCCTCTTAAATGGGGCAGCCTCTGTGTACAAGGTCACCTTGAGAGATGGAAAAATTATATGGTAGAAATTATAATTCCAAAACAAAGTGTGCTTTTAGATTTGATCTGTGCTAAGGCCTAGGAAAAAAAATGTTGTGTTTCCTGTTTCAGTCCTAAAAAAATTAGGGTCGGTAGGTAGGGGTTTTTTTAGACTTCAGTGATACATGTATCTATATAGGGGTCCAACTAATACAATACAGTTTGACAAAGTAAAACTTGCATGAGGACACTTTAATTTATTTTCAATGCCAATGTTAGAAACCCAACTGTACAACGTTTTATCACCCAGCTGTCAGATCATGGAGCTAGAAAAGGTTGATTAGCTCAAAATGTATGTCCCCTGCAGGGGTCTACCCCCCAAAAAAGTCTAGGGTCGGCAGGTTTTTCTAGGGTCAGTCGGGAAACAGGAAACAACACTTTTTTCTTAGGCCTAAGAGACACACATTGAAAAAAATCGCACTGATGCAGGTAAGGTGCAAGTAGTCTTATTGCATTGTCACCACACAATACAGCACTGCATAATAGCAAGGCACACATTGTATCAAAAGACAAACATCTGCATAATTCAGAAAACTGGTTTCCTTCACATTATATATCTTTTACGTTTTCTGCCCCTATATGTACACAATACTAGTAAGTCAATTTACAATGTTGAAAGGAAAAAGGAATTTCTTTTTCACGTATGTAAAATTGATGATACCCAAACCTTTATATTCCTAATATATATATAGAATTATCCTAAAATCATCATAATAATTAGTAACATTATACAACAATGAGGTTTCCTTGGCAAGAGTATGCATGTACATTATCCAGCAAACATTCATTTCTGAGGACAAAGACATTGCTGAAATTCAAAAGCACTACAACGTAACTATACATTGTCAAGACAGTAGTGCCATAGAAAACTATGTACTGATGACTCATTTTTCTTAGGTAGTTCTGCAAAACAAGCCTTGAATTTTTGTTTGGTGGGGAAACACAACTTGAGTTCAGGAATTTCATCTAGCTTGTAAAATTACGTATATGGAGGAACTCTGATGCTTGCCAACGTTAGTAGTCTCAGTCACAATTTTACATGGTATATGTACTCCTATGTCCAAAATTATGAGGTAGTGTCTTTTGGCATGTCAGATGCTAATAAATGGACAAAAATAACTTGAAGTCACAAAAAATGATGTTTGGGTATACAATTTAGGCTTTCCTAAGTAGTGATATGATACTAGTTGTGCCCTGTACATCATGTAGAAGATTGTAGAACAGTGATTGTGGAGAAGTATTTTTTTTTTGTTTACTGTTCATGAACTAAAACATTCATGAAGATAAAACATACCTAAAAAGTGTGGAGCTGAAAACTTTGTAACGCTAAATGTACCTTAAGTAGTTTGCAGAGTTCAAAAGTCACAGACTACATTGTACAATGTATGTCCTAAGGCCTCTGAGGCAGCTATCTGATTGGTTGCTGAAAGTTGGTCTTATATCCAACCACGATCCATGATCTATAAAATGAAGATCGATGTAAAAAGCCTAAGTCAGAATGAATAAGAAACCGTTTTACTCATGGTCTGCTTTTTATTTCTTTTTTTTTACTTAATTGTAAATGGCTCCACCTTGCAGCAGGAGAAAGAAATGCAATGGTGCTTTTTTAAATGACATCAGCTTATTAAGTTTATGTTTGCCTGTTCACATCTGCACTATCAACACCCTAAAACCTGAGATGAGAAACAGCCTCCCAAATCACGGGCAGCCAGGTTAGGCCACACCAATTTAATTTCTTGGTTCTTGGATTCGCCCAATTAATTTTTGTCCAATTTGCAAAATGCTCATATTTTGGCCCCAACAGTTGAAGAAAGTCCCTTCTCTTTTGAGTTGTTACAGGTTTTCCATCTATTAATGCAGTGATTTGATGAAAAGTTTGAAATTCATTTTTTGAACTACCAAACCGGCCTGGTATGTACATGTAGACTCCAAGGCTCCTATCATATGGAATGCCTAGATCTGTTTTTATTTGCCCTGTCACTTCATATTTTTTCTGAAAAAATCTGAGAACCAACAAATCAAATTTGTATGGCCATACTTTAGCAGTTGTACTGTTGATCTGTACTACATCACAATTGCCGGTCGAAAGCAGCACATCCCTAAGGAGAAACATCTCGGCATTTTCCTCTTCGTTTCTTCGAGTAGGTCCTCCAGAGCTGATTCTAAAACAGAAGATGTAAAGCATGTTATTAGAAAAAAAAGGACAAGAAGAAAACATACATTTTTAGAGATAAACACAGTCTGAATCAAAACAACAATTTAAGCCATAAACAATGACAATAAACCGACAAAACTAACAGGAACAATGGGTAAGCACTTGTGTAATATTTTAAAAATCATAAAAATATACTGCGGAAACTTGTGTATACTTGCACACATCCCAAATCAGCAGACCTGTCCAAGTTACCCCCTCACAAAATTAATATTATTTGTTACAGGAGTAATAGCCAATGGGAAGCAGGCTTTGTAAATGGCCCATGGGTAAAAGCCAATGGGAAGCAGGCTTTGTAAATGGCCCATGGGTAAAAGCCAATGGGAAGAAGGCTTTGTAAATGGCCCATGGGTAAAAGCCTATGGGAAGAAGGCTTAGTAAATGGCCCATGGGTAAAAGCCTATGGGAAGAAGGCTTTGTAAATGGCCCACGGGTAAAAGCCAATGGGAAGCAATTTTGCACATTGGTTCCAAAACATCTCAGATAATGTCTAATTTACAGTCCCAGTGGACTGCCTTTGTGCAAGGGTTTGTCAACCAAGGCAAATTGGAATAAACAGCTGGTAATTACAATGTGGGTGTTGAGCTGAAGGTTAGCTCAATTTGTAGATGTCATAAAGGAAAAATACATCCATTTCAGTTAATGTCAAAGCTTTCATATGCAGCAGTCAGTCGTAGCAACTACAGCACCATTCATATTAAATGCGCATCATGTAATTTTTGTAACCAAAAATTTGAGTGAAAAAATCTTTACTAATGTGATTGTCATTTACTTCCACCTTTTGACATACATGTATTTGTGTCATTATTTCACATTTCTGATTTGCAACAAAACAATTTATTTGAGACACACTCATTTTGTGGTGCCAACACAAACTACCAGAATGTAAACAAACATGACTGACAGCTGTGCTTCTATATTTTAAACACACTTGTGTGGTGTGATATTTTGGCACCTGCACTACAGAAAATTGCCTTTTTGTATCGTATGTTGCATAATGCAGCTTTAACACTCCCCAGACAGCCTTAATTATCTTACCCTGAGCAGCTGGTATGACTTCATACAACTCACGGAGGGTTGTTTGTGACGACACAATGTCTCTGAAATGGAGAAAAGGACAGTTTGAAAATCAGTCGGTTACCAATTTTGTAGCCTGGTTACCATACTCAACGGGGTGTTCCGGTCGGCCAGATGTTGTTTGGCACCATATAGGAGTTCAGCCGGCGTTTCTAGTTTCGTCTACGGGGCGGCAGAAATTAGAAACACCGTCTGAACTCCTATCAGGTGCCAAACAACATCTGGCCGACCGGAACACCCCGAACCAGTTGAGTATGGTAACCAGGCTACCAAAAAAGATGCAACTATCTGATTGCATATAATCAGTGTTTTTTCATCTTCTCCGTTTCCTGTTTACAAACCTTGTCTGGACTCATATGAGTCTGGCATTTCAAGCTACGACACAAAGCAGTCCTTGCTAATACATGTAAGCATGTATAGATATGGCACTACAGAGGACCATGTGCAGTTGTTGCCACTACCTGACATGAGACAAGAAGGCACTACTATATAAAAAGAATTACAACCAGCCTAATTTTCTATTTTGAACACGATAGGTAATGTTAGATGTCAGATCTAGAATTGAACTGCAATAATTTTTTTCCTGCAAGCATGCCATGGTAGAGAGTGGAAAGAAATGACAGTTTGAAAATCAGTCGGTTACCAATTTTGTAGCCTGGTTACCATACTCAACGGGGTGTTCCGGCCGGCCAGAGGTTGTTTGGCACCGTATAGGAGTTCAGCTGGCATTTCTAGTTTCGTCTACGGGGCGGCAGAAATTAGAAGCACCGTCTGAACTCCTATCAGGTGCCAAACAACATCTGGCCGACCTGAACACCCCGAACCAGTTGAGTATGGTAACCAGGCTACCAAAAAATATGCAACTACAATGTATCTGATTGCATATAATCAGTGTTTCTTCATCGTCTCCATTTCCTGTTTACAAACCTTGCCTGGACTCTACATGAGTCTAGCATTTTATAAAAGCTGTGACACTAGGAGGTCCTTGCTAATATATAGATGGCACTACAGAGAACCGTGACACTATCTTACATGGCACAAGGAGGCACTAGACATACTAGTATATAAAACAATTATAACCAGCCTGATTGCTATTTTGAATACGATAGGTAGATGTCAGATCTAGAATTAAAATGCAATAATTGTTTTCCTGCAAGCATGCCATGGTAGAGAATTGATTGCAGAAAGACCACCACTTCTTTTTTTACGGCAGACAGCTGTATATAAGCAGCTCTCATAATTGTCTTTCAGCAATAATCAACTTAAAGGGCATCTCCAGGGTACTGAAAGATGAGATGTTCTAACAAACACATGTACATTTTCTCAGTTGATTTGCTTTGTGTAACAAGTAGTTCGGTGTAATATATAATCTCCAAGCAGATCTTTCGGTGGCAAGACAGTATCCATTGGCCAGAGGAGTGTCCATTAGCCACCACTTCGGTTGGCAAATGGATACAGGACGGCCAATGGATACAGGATGGCCAATGGATACAGGATGGCCAATGGATACGGTCTTTTGTCACCCAACCAAAATCGTCCCTCCGTGGCATATTACTCGCGTCGCTCACAGAAAATAACGCCGACGCCCAACAAGACTGCGAAGGAGGCTAGCCAGTTGCCACCGTGCCGCATGCCTGCAAAGCTGGTGTTTTGACAGTGCCATAAGACAATCAATTTTCTTGCATCTCTTTTCTGACCAATGTTTTGATCTTGTGCACTGTGGCCCAAAATGCTAGCATAGCTTGAGTTAGTTTCCCATAACCCCAGCATAGCTGAGTTAATTGCCCAAAACCCTAGCATAGCTGAGTTAGTTTACAGAATAATACATTTGCGATCATGTCAAATCATCACTGTAATTGCTAGAATACATCATGCCAATCCTGGGATGCTCTACGTGTTCTTCATAATTGATTACCTGCAGACACAAACAATCTCAGGCTTGAATCGGCTTCTTCAAATAATTCATTACAAAACTATCCCCCTACCATTCAGCCTCAGTCTACGTGCAAATATTTGCAATCTCATAACATATGCCCAGTTTCTGATGAAGTACATGTATACACAACAGAAAAATTGTAGCATGAAAAATATTTCATTCACGTGAAGCTCTCATTGCATCATTTGGGTTGTCAAAGCATGAGACAAAGGATATTTTCTACCTTGTACACATTAGCATTTTCTGGAATAGATTTTTGTTTCTTTTGAGTTATTCTTTTATCATATTACTATGTTAGTCAGTATTCATATACATAACAACATCAGTATGCATTTAACCCCATGGGCACGAATATGCAATAAAGATTGACTGTATCAAATATATCTGAGGCAAATTATACAACATCTGTTTGCCTTTTGTTTACACATAGCCATGGCAACATGTTTCAATATGATCCTAAACCCCGACCTTAGCAAGCTTTACAGATTTAACATGCATATGATCAGAGCACAGGAAGTTTGATATACATGTAATTCAAGGTAAGTGCATTTTGGTACAGATATCATCATACATTTCTTAAATGTTTCCACTATACAGGGTTTCAAATGCTCTGGCTGCACAAGTTATGTTTTCTGTGCGAGACTAATTGGAGACGCAAGGTTGCCTGGCACGCAAGTTATCATTTTTTCCATACAAAACAACGTTTTTAAAGTCTCCAGCTGCCAGGTTGTTGAAATAAACTGTGGGCCGCGGCGGCCAGCATCTGAGCAATACAACGTATCCTCTACAGGTAGCCTGGCTTACAGCTTGCCTTCTAAAATAAACAGCCGGTGTTGACAGCAACCTGAAATATTGGTGGGGACCCAGCTTTTAAAAATGTTTCGAAGCCAGCTATAGATAATCTCCAGGGAGTTTTATTTCTTTATGAAGATTTACATGTACCATATTTGTGGCAGGATTGATATCACAGGTGACTATAACCTTTTCATTCAAGATGTCAAACCTGAGACCAGACTGTAAGGTTTGAACCACTCACACAGGAAAGGACCATTGCTCTTTTCGACAAGTGTGGTGGGATCTTTAACATGCTTAAAGGTGTGGCTCTACTTAAACACATGAGATCCTGCTTTACATCCTTTTTGAGAGGAGGTCCTTAACCGAAACTAGGTACATGTGTACACTCATTTTCACCTGAGTCAAGTGAGGAAATAGGTGTAAAGTGCCTTTCCAAAGGACACAACACTGGGGCCTGCCTTGGATTCAAACCCAGAACCTTCAGATTCTGAGTCAACAACCCTAACCACAAGACCATATTTATATCTTCAGGGAGTTATGTGAACCCACCCTAGTATTGCTGCCAGCTCCTCCGTTTTGCCGTGTTTCTTCCTCTCCACGGCCGACATCCACGGGTGCAGCTCCCCTGGTCCGTCCTGTGGCGACCCCCCCACAGAACACCCGTTTGTCTGCAGAGTGTTCCCGATGGACGCTTGCGACAGGCGATGTCTGCCTACTGGGTACAACAGAAATCAAAACAGAGGATTTGGGGAAAGTTGACATGATTTTGTATGTTTACCTTTGCAGAAGGAAAACATACTGTTTTTGCTCAATCTCTTCTTCATCTTCTTCAAACACATAAGGTCAATGATCTTGACCAGACATCTGTCACCATGGTAACTTAAGTGCTGAAGCAGACACCCTGTTGTGTTGTATTACATTATGTAGCAGAAAAGAGCTGGTGGTGGTTGTCTGGTTGCATTTGCTTTGCAATATAAACGTTACCTTTCTAGTTTTTATTCAGCTTAAGCTTAGAATGTTATCAAAACTAGAAGCAGCAGCTAACATCAGGTTGTAGTCATTACTGTAGGGTGCTAATCATCATAATATATGTAGATCAGACAGTGAATGCAAATGCAGTTCTGGCACCACATTAATTATGTTATTTCTCTGAAGCAGACTTTACTAACTAATTAGCATATCCTTCTGTTCAGGTGTTACTGTTAAAACCTACCCACAGACACCTGAGAGGCTCGCCTGGCCAGTACATTGGACAGCTGCGACGCCCAGGAGGCCTGGGACCACCTGTCTGCACCTGGATCGTCCGTTTTGGACGCGCTGCGAGACTTTCTTCTTTTCTCTGAGGAAAACAGAAAACAATTTTCAGTCAGTAACAGTACCGCTACTCAATACTAAAAGACACTTTGCATATAGTTGACAATGTTCATTTTGCAGCTGCTTTGTACGATTTACAGAATGGCTGAAAACTTTTTTATGGAAACGGATGAAAAATGCATGCACGTACGCGCGGATGTCATCCATGTAGTCAAAACAACGGAGAAGAGTTAATCTCATCAGTCGTCACAAGGCTTTATAACAGTTATATACACTGTATAAGTGTGTCTTTATTTGCAAAATCATACCCGAAAGCTAATTACTTTTACAGAGTAAAAGATACTATATGATGTCATGTACATTTATTACTGTACAATACAGTAATAGGGAACAGACAAGTACTGTCTGAAAAATACTTATAACTACTACGCTTGCTATTATGAGGTTTGACTTCTTCTTTGAAGGCAGTGAATAATGAATGGTCCCACGTTTTGCATAATGAGTTCTGCATGATGTAAAAGCTACGAATGACCAACGGTCTTACCGCGTGGTTCAAAGGCGGATGTGAGCCGGTAAGACTTCTGTAGCTCCCTGATGAAGAGTTCCAGGGCACAGCACACGTTATGTACACGGGTCTGGAGCTCCTCCATTTGGTCCACATTAAGTCTGATGAAAACAAAGGGGAAAACTAGAAAGGTAACATTTGCAAAGCAAATGCATAATGTTTACCTTCGCATATGGTCTGCTCTGTTAATTCTTACTCAAACACATTCATTTATATGGTCAGAGAGGAGTCTAAATCCCTCCTGCTATAAAATTGCAACATGATGTAACCCAACACTAGTTACCATGGTGACAGACATCTGGTTCAGGTCATTGACCTTATTGGTTTAAATTGGAGAAGAAGAGGAAACAGAGAAAAAACAAAACACAAATAAAACGTTTTGCGACGTTTGCTTCTCAGTTCCTGATATGAGTGAGATCCTGAGACAACGCCGCTTGTGGGGCCAAATTGTAAACGCGGCTGACTATGCTAGTATATACGTAACTTTTTGTGTGTGACATCTTTCACTAGGTGCCATACTAGGATTACAATTCCTAACCCTGGGCCCGGCTGGTCAATTTTCAGGAACAAATTCAAACAGTATGATATAAAAGTCATCAAACACAATTCTTTTTTAATCATGATTACTATTTGTGTATACATGTATTTTTTAAATGAATGATTAATTTCTGTTCTTCGTTCACGCAAACAGCCCCGCCGGGCTCCGGTTTGGACCTTAGCATAAGCAGAGATATGCATCTGCAAGAAGATAAGCACTGCATCAGCGTCTTATATGCGGCTTTATCGTTGCAATCACGTTGGGACGGAGCAGACTGTCAGAGTTTTTTTTTCCACTTTTCTATAACCCCCAGTCGAGACCGAGAGGGGTTCCCCTTCAACTGAAATAGTTTCCGCCAGGCTCCTTTTCAGACTGAATAAATGGTAGAAATAGGCCTAAAAAGGATTGTAACTGGCCAGGGGAGTAAGCAGGTGTTGCAAGCAAATTGGACCCTCTACGGCTGACTCCCCTGGCCCGCTACATTCCTTTTTAGACTGATTTCTACTATCTATTCAGCCTGCAAATCAGTCTGGTGGTGGCATCAACTGAAAAGCCGCCATAGTGTTGTGAACTGATACAACATTTGAACCGGAAATTCTGGTGCCCAAACAGACAGCCGATCAGATGGTACAGAGGGTTTTATGCTCCATAATGGACGTTGTAGTGACCTATGACTTTGAAGAGTACGCCAGATATGATATCGTGTCTGGACGTTGACAATGTAACTGATCTTTCTGGCATTGTATGGACCAAGCTTTTAGCCTTGCACATGGGTCGTAAAGTTTGTCGTTACCTTTGCCAAGAAGCTGTGTTTTCGGAGGCGTCCGTGTGTGTGTGTGTGTCTGTCTGTCTGTCTGTCTGTAAACAAGATACCTCAAGAGGGATTAGATTGATGTGTTCATGTTTCCCTCACAAATTACGTTGATTCAATTATTATAATATTCCGTTTACCATCTTCCATTTATCCGTCCATGTGATTGATTATGATAATGTGATTGATTATCGTGACTTAACCCTTACGCTGACTACTTTACGGGTTAATTTGATTTTAAGTTACTTAGAGCTTAGTTTGAGAGAACCCTTTACTTAGAGAGAGAGGTGGGGCTAAGTTATGTCGTTAAAGTAAAAGCCCTGGTTGGTGCATCGGAGATCACACACGATAGGGCAATTAGTGTTTTAAGGAGTGGACAATGAATTTCTGTTTGTAGATATAATAAAGCCATGTTAATTTGATTACTAGAGTATGGATGACATCCTCTGGAAACCCCAAAACTGATGTGAGTGTGTGAATAAAAAAGTTTGGCAAAATTGCCTTCATTATGAAATTTATGAGGTCATGAAGGTTGAACAAATGACAAAACACACAGACTCTTCATTTTCATTTTTTCACATTTCTTTCTTTTCCTTTGGAATTGACTTTGGCATTCATTCTACGACATTCATGATTAGTATCTTAGTTATAGTATTTTACAATATTTTTACGGCATGTATTTTTTTTTTGCAAATGAATGAAAATCCATGCGCGCGCATGAAAATCCATATAATCAAATCAATATAAGTGTAATATTTTCACATGGCAACACATTTCATTGTAGGCTGTACCAGTCAACTTTCGTCTGTAATTATTCAAGATACTCCTAGTACAAATTCGCCATGCAACACCAATCATTCCCACGGTCTTACCCGTCCAATTTCTAACCCTTAGAGCACGAATCCTTCCTATCTTGTGATCTCCGATTTACCAGTAGTCGTCAAGCACACTCACGACTACTGTTTCACTTGCATTAACTCTAGATCTCAAACAAAGATTGCGTGCTCAGCCTCTTGTTGATATTGTAGGTAACTGGCTAGGTTAATACTTCATATTGATAGATATTGGGTGTGTATGTTAATACGAAACTGAGACAATTATTTATGTTTACCAAAGGAAAACATCTTGTTTTTGCTCTGTTTCTTCTTCTTCTTCTTCTCCAAACCAAAAAGGTCAATGACTGTCTATCACCGTGGTAACTGGTGTTGGGTTACATCATGCTGCAATTTTATAGCAGGAGGGATTTAGACTCCTGTCTGACCATATATATGAATGTGTTTGAGTAAGAATTAACAGAGCAGACCATATGCGCAAAGGTAAACATTATGCATTTGCTTTGCAAATGTTACCTTGTCTAGTTTATGATTGCTCTCAACATTTAAAGGCATGCAATGCAATTTCGAATCGAAACAGAAATATTCTGGACGAAAAAATCTGTCTGATATTGATATTTACTGCCATTTTTTAGCACATGTTCATCATCATTTAAAAATCAAGCTGTGTAAGGAGTCTCTTTATTTTTGGGTACCGCCCATAAATACATGTAGCTGGAACCAGGCTATGATAAGCAACCATTTTATATTATCAGCAACATCGGCATTTTTGCCTCACAGATATTAATATGCTATGGGATAGGATTGATTCCACTTTTAAAGAACTACATTAAAAGAATCACCAGAGAATGACCAGAAAATTAACTTAGAAAATCTAAGTTTGCCGCCCTGAAATCACATTGGATGCCTTTAAAACTACATTATAATAGAGCATATAAATACACACTTAGACATACACTTGATTATTTTCCTCGGTCAAGGATATGAAAATATCGCACTCACGTTTGTGTAAGGGGTTCAAGTCTCAGCCTCTGCGCGCAGGACAGCTCCATGCATCGGAGGCGAGTCTTCCTGATCTCCGCCCGCAGGCCCGGTGTGTCCCGCCTCCCGCCGATGTGAGTCAGCAGGTCCCGGTAGACTGCTATCTGCACGTTAAACTCGTGCAGATCCTACAGAATTACAAACAACCAAGAGGGAAAAAAAGTCAGGCAGCACACGGAAATATGATCAGCCAACAGCGTATACAGTTGTCAACATTCCACTAGTTCATACGTTAGCCTGGTGTCCAGTCTACCGTGGTTGGGACGGGTTCTTTTCGGGGCTGCAGGAGCTCTTCCCCGCCCGACTCAGCTAGGTTCTTCGGTAGGTTTTGCACGACTGGAGTTAAGTTCTTGGTGGGGTTAATCAACTCCTGGCGTGAAAAACTCCTACGTAACACACCTACCGGGCGGTCTGTTGAGCTAGACTATGGAAAACTATTAGACCCCCCGAAGACAGCCTACCCCAATCACGATAAACTGGATACCAGGCTAATACGCGTTCGCGTTTTTTTTTACCTCAGAACAACGAATACGTTTCGAAGTTGTCGAAGCTAGTGCAAGAACAGAACACACTAGCATGTTTTATCCTACTTTGCGACAGCAAGTTCTACTACATGTCGACGAGACATGTCAGAAATACGCGCGCGCGAGAGAGAGAGAGACAGGGAGAGAGAGAACACAGACCATCTTGTATGTAGTGGGTCTGGCGCACGTAAGTCCTTGGAGGCAGTCTGTGCGCTGTGGACTAGCCGGGCTAGCGGTGCTGTACACAACACCATCCATTTCAGCCAGCGTGCCTTATCCGAACTCCATCAAATTATCCCAGGGCAAAGCTCCGATGACCTTTATGATAAGCTTCCCGAAGCAAATGTGTGTTTTTACGGAGTGCCGATGACGCGGCCGCCTTCCTTTTCCCACTGTTCGTTGCTTGGAGCCAAAACGGCATCTGCTGGAATGTAGCTTAATCCTCAATCAATGTGGCGCTTTGTACTTATAAACGAGCAATTAGAGCCCGGTTATACGCCATAGAAAGTCTGTATAGACAGGTTTCAACCAGTCCCGAGCAAATGTCTGCCTTTCTAGTTTTTGGCGTGTTTTAAGCGTTTTTCTCTGACCCTCTTTTTTCGCACGGGTATCTTTTTTTTTTGCCCCTAACAATCGTAACTCCCTGGCAAAAGGATACTGCCTAGCCAGTTTGATACTGTCAAATTTCAGCCACCAACATCTGCTTGGAGATTACTTTTAAAAACGACAGTCCATCGTTGTTGGGGCAGGCTGTCTTCGGGGCTCTAATAGTTTTCCCCCCGTCCAGCTCAACAGACCGCTCGGTAGGAGTGGCGCCTGTAGGAGTTTTGCACGTCAGGAGTTGATTAGTTAATTTGATTCCCATCGTGCAAAACCTACCGGGGAACCTAGCTGAGGCCGGCGGGGAAGAGTTCCTGCAGCCCCGAAAAGGAACCCGCCCCAACCACGGTAGACTGAACACCAGGCTATGGTTAGTTAGCTTCTGCGATTGACGATTCAGCTCACGATCTCTAATGTCATTAATTACCTTTGACAGAAAGGAGAGTCAACTCCCCTGGTCAGAAGTACAGACCAGTTTTTTTTGTGAGAGTTCCTTTGTTGCTAGACCTGCCGGAATGCATTGACGAGTGGGGCGCGAACTTAAACAAGCACCATGGAGATCATTTGTGCTCGCAAAACATGATTACACGCAGGCTGTACTCAAGGATAAAACACACGACTTTCCTCACTTAACTGAAGTGAAAATGAATATTGTCCCGTCCTGTATTTGTCCTCTGCGTTGGTGGTGGCATAAAATAAGTTGATATAACGTGAGTATGCCGTCACCACGTGTAGTCATGAAATGTTGAAAGGCCATGTTGATTTGATTATATGGATGACATCCGCGCGCGCATGAATTTTCGGCCGTTTCCAAAAAAAAAAAAGTTTTCAACCATACTGTAAATCGTACAAAACAGTTGCAAAAATGAGCAAAAATATACCGTAAGTTACAAAAAATAAGTAAAAACTATACCAATGTCGTAGAATGCCAAAATCAAACGAAAAAGACGAAATTGTAAGGAAATGAACTTGAAGATTAGATTATTCGCCAAACCATATTCTGTCCCATTTGTTCAACCCTCATGACCACGTAGATTTCATAATGAAAACACTTTTTTTTTTTTTTAGCTAAAATTTTTTTTTTATTTCGCTACGCGCGCATCAGTTTTGGGGTCTCCCGGAGGATGTCATCCATATAATCAAATCAACATGG